AATGATCACAGAGACAGAAAGTGAGGTGAAATCTTCTGAATAGGGGCACAGAGAGAAAAACAAACAGGGGTGTGTTAGCCCTTCCCTAAGCCACTTAAGCCACTTAAAACAACTCTCTCTCTCTCTCTATATATATATATATATAGTGTATGTGTATATGTAATGTGTATGTGTATATATAATGTGTGTGTGTATAACGTTTATATATGTGTGTATATGTGTATATACTTACATATTTAATGTTTATATATTGTTTGTGTGTATATATATAGTGTATGTGTATATGTAATGTGTATGTGTATATATAATGTGTGTCTATATATGTTTATATATGTGTGTTTGTATATATTTGTATATATATATGTTTATATATATATATATGTAGTGTGTATTTCTAATGTGTATATATAAAATGTTTATATATGTGTGTATATGTGTATATATATTTACATATATAATGTTTATATATACACACATACACTATATATATAGTGTATGCATATAGTGTATGCGTATATATAAAATGTTTATATGTGTGTATATGTATGTATGTATATATATATATATTAACATATATAATGTTTATATGTGTGTGTGTGTATATATATGGTATGTGCATATGTGTGTGTGTGTGTGTGTGTGTGTATATATGCATTGCTTTGGATAGTATATATATTAGAGTTACACTTTTGAAATGAACCTGTTCCGACTTGCATAGAAATACAATGTAAGAACAAATCTACCTTGTTCGTAACTTGGGGACTGTCTGAATATATTTCCCTCCCTCTCTCTCTTTTCTCTCTCCGTACGACAGAAATTTCATCGATTTTGTCTGCACGAAATTATTTGTGTGTATTTGCCTATCGATTTATGGCGACTCACATCAATGCCACGTTTGTTTGTTTTTCGTTTTTCCTGGCAAGGAATACTTAAGCGATGTTTTGGCCCCTTCCTTCTCTAACCTACAGTCTTTGGTCCTCCTCCACCCAAGCATTAAACAGACTGGAGCAGAGAGAGTATTGCCTGTAAACCCCGCTTTCAGGCTTGGTCTCTTTTTTTTTTGTTCCAAGGCAGTCTTATTTGGAGGTTTAAGAGGAAAGTCGCTCCAAAAATAAGCCTTTTGGACCAGAGGGGAAAATAAGTAAGTAGGCAAATACTCTTCCACTTCAATGTATTGTCGAAGGCTTTCATGGCTGGAATCACTGGGTTGTTGTAGGTTTTTCGGGCTATGTGGCCATATTCTAGAAGCAGTCTCTCCTGACGTTTCGCCTGCATCTATGGCAAGCATCCTCTCTGAGGATGCTTGCCATAGATGCAGGCGAAACGTCAGGAGAGAATGCTTCTAGAATATGGCCATATAGCCCGAAAAATCTACAACAATCCACTCTTAGAATCGCTCATAGTGTCTTACAATTGAAGAAATTTATTATTTACACTGTGATACAGAAGATCCCGGAGAAAACAAATATACACAAAACATACATACAAACTACTTGATAACAGGGCTCGGATCGGAGGAAGATCCGGGAGAAAAAGAAGAAGCGACGATACATTTCCTATGTGGTCAGAGGAGAAAACGAACACTTTTTTTTCTCCCAGATCGCCTGATCCAAAGCGCGTTTTCATATAGATCCAATATATATTAAAATACACAGCACATATATGCAGATATCAATGGAAATGGAGAACACTTCCTCCAATATCAACCGACTGAGCTCAAAGCAAAGCCGTCTAGATGAAAATATTCCTTCCAACCGAGTGCCCGGTGGCGCAGTGGGTTAAACCCTTGTGCCGGCAGGTCGCAGGTTCGAATCCGGAGAAAGCGCGGATGAGCTCCCCCTGTCAGCTCCAGCTCCCCATGCGGGGACTGAGAGAAGCCTCCCCAAAAGGATGGTAAAACATCAAAACATCCGGGCAATGTCCCCTGGGCAACGTCCTTGCAGACGGCCAATTCTCACACACCAGAAGCGACTTGCAGTTTCTCTAGTCGCTCCTTTTGGCAGCCTTGCTATATAAAATCAGTTGGGTCTTCCTACCTGCAGTCTCACAGTTCCACAGTTAATTTCATGGATTTCCTCCAGCTGGGACAAACCAATAAGACAATAATAATAATAATAATAATAATAATAATAATAATAATAATAATAATAATAACCGACTCCCTCAGGTCTCTCTCGCTCTGAAGCACAATATCAGGAAGATTTCTTTCGCTTTTCTGTTGCTTTTGTTTAGTCAAAGCGGCTTGAAAGCAAACCGTCGCTGGGTTTTTTTTTCCGTGTCAGGAGCGACTTGAGAAACTGCAAGTCGCTTCTGGTGTGAGAGAATTGGCCGTCTGCAAGGACGTTACCCAAGTGACGCCCAGATGTTTTGATGTTTTATCATCCTTGTGGGAGGCTCCTCTCATGTCCCCGCATGGGGAGCTGGAGCTGACAGAGGGAGCTCATCCACGCTCTCCCCGGATTGCTGTGGTGGGAGTGAAAGAGATTTGTGGAGTCCAGGACTGAGTTGAGACGGAAGGACCAGGATCCTCTCCCCTCCGGAAAGCAAAGGCGCAAATTTGCGCACCTCCGGATATATTCAAGTCACGAAGCGGGAGAGGACTGGGAAAAAGACTCCGTCCTTTCCAAGCCTCCGGAGCAGACATAGGTGTTTTGGACTTCAAATCCCACACAATTCCGGCTGTTAGGAATTGTGGAAGTCCAAAAGCTGCCCATACCAGCTCCGGAGGCTCCCAAAGAGCCTTCCCTGCACCAAGGATGGAGAGTCATCCGAGAGAACTGGGTGACTTTCTAGGCTCCGGAGGGCAAGTTTCGAGTCCCCACTCGGCCAAGGAAACCCTCTGGATGATCTTGAACAAGTCTCACACTCTCAGCTTTAGAGGAAGGCGAAAACAAGCGCCATCTGAATAAATCTAGCCGAGGAAAACATCTCGATAGGGTGGTCGCAAGTCGGAAACAACTCATCATTATCATCATCAACAACAGAGGAAGTCTTTCTCACAGAGGAAGAGACCAGACAGCCCTAGTGATTGGGTTGTTGTAGGTTTTTCGGGCTATATGGCCATGTTCTAGAAGCATTCTCCCCTGACGTTTCGCCTGCATCTATGGTTGGCATCCTCAGAGGTTGTGAGGTTCTCACAATCTCTGAGGATGCTTGCCATAGATGTAGGCGAAACGTCAGGAGATAATGCTTCTAGAACATGGCCATTATAGCCTGAAAAAACTACAACCACCCAGTGATTTCAGCCATTAAAGCCTTCGACAGCCCTGCTGATTCTTCCTCAATATGCAGTCCCATATCTCAATGTAACTATTTAAATTGCCTCCAACAGGAGAGGATTAACCTGAGTGATCAAACTCTGAAATTCCATTGACTGCAAAGGAATGGGCTCCAGGCCCCTCCAGACAGAGTAACAAACATTCATAGGATTTACACCTCACCAGATAGAGCCTATTGACAGTCTTGCTATATAAAATCAGTTGGGTCTTCCTACCTGCAGTCTCACAGTTCCACAGTTAATTTTATGGACCTCCTCCAGTGGGGACAAACCAGTAAGACACCAGTCCATAGTGCACAAGCTGCCTCTATCTTCTCTTCTTTACTTAAGGCCCTTCCACACAGCCATATAATGCAGAAAATCCCACAATATCTGCTTTGAACTGGGTTATACAAAATACCATGGCCTAGTTTTCTCCCAGCTGCCCCAAGTTGGCAAAGGTGTCACTGTATCTAAGGCCCCTTCCAGATAGTTGAATAAAATCCCACAATATCTGCTTTGAACTGGGTTATCTGAGTCCACACTGCCATATATTCCAGTTCAAAGCAGAAAATGTGGGATTTTATTCAGCTGTGTCAAAGAGGCCTTTGATACAGTGACATCTTTGCCAACTTGGGACAGCTGGGAGAAAACTAGGCCATAGTATTTTGCTCAGAATCATGCAAGGAGGAGATTTGGATGGTTTATTTTGATGGAATGTTAGAAGGAACTTTTCAGTATCAACTGTTTAGCAATGGAACCAATTGCCCAGAAAGGTAGAAGAGCCTCCCTCCTCCAAAAGCAGCAGCTATCTGCTGGGGATGCTTTTATGGAGATCCCAAGTCCATTCGGACTCTAGGAAATATTACTCATCTCTAACACAGGGACCAAGAAGGAAGATGCACAGACACATGGTGGTTTCATGTGTGCACTCCAATGGAGGCATCTATGTCTGTGGTGACCATCAAAATATCTACTGCCCAACCACAGTTCTGCCATATCTTGTATCCATACTGATACTTTCCTGGTTATCGTTTACTCTTGGATGATTCTTATTATACTTTGTGAGAAAATCTGATCAGTTGAGAACTTCTTAAAAGTTCAAATGGAGAAATTATGAACTGGAAAGTTTGGAGAATTCCCCCTTTCTGCTATAGATGCATTTATTATGTTTCTTCAAGTCAAATCTGACTTGCAACCTCAATGTATAATTTTCAGAGGATGGTTTCTAATTAGTTTCCAAGGCCAAGAAGGGATTTCAACCCTGGTCTCGCAGAATCATAATTCAACACTCAAGCCACAACACCATACAGGACCCTAATGTGTATCTATAGTAGTGTTTCCCAACATTTTTTTTCTAAAGACCACTTGACCAGGGAGAACTCTCGAACATTAGTACCAAAAGAATCACAAATTGGTTTTTGGTCAACTTTAGATTTGGTTTGGTTGTTTGTGGTGCTGATTCAGAAAATTGCATTGGATAGACCACATCAGCTCTAGTTTCTGATGCAGAACATATGACATCCAGTAGCCGCCATCAGATCACTCATGGAAAACCATATTTAACAAGCCTTGGCACTATAAGAAGGTTTTGTGAGACCAGTTGCTCCTGTGTAGTAACCATGAGGCCGCAGACCATATTTTAGTTCTTGCTGACCACTGGTGGTCCACAGACCACAGGTTGTGAACCACCGATGTATAGCTACCATTATATACTTATACCAAAATAGTAAGAAACAGCTCCTACCATTGCAACACGTTTATTAAAAACCATATATGTACAGCCCAAGGTCCTCCCCAAATAAAACTAATGCTTTGTTTTTAAAAGTCTTTTGCCACTTCAACAGCATCTCATAAAATTATTTACAAACTGAGCAACAGGAGTCACAACACACTTTCCATTGAGAAGAGCTGAAACATACATTCACCACCTACCAATAAATAGATAATTTAATGTGCTCAGGGCAACAGTGCCCATTGTCAGATCAAACAGTTGTTTAAAGGAGAAACTCCCAATACACACCATCTTCACATATCCAGATTCACTGCCATGACTAGAACTAGAATAATTATTTTTTTGGTCATAGTCTACGATATACCTAGACACAGAGCTGTACATGTAACATTGTATTTTGTTTGCCTTACCTTCATAGGGCTTCTCTCTCTGCCAACACATTTAACGTCAAGTCGCCCAAGACAAGACAAAGGAATTTTTAATCCCTAAAAAACATTTCAGTTCTTGTGAATTCGGAAGAATTTCTTCTATAGGTAAAGTATCAGTTCTGAATATTTACTGCTACAACAAACCTAATGATTTTTTCCCCAAGCCTGTTCTCTCGTTAACTCAGGGAACTTTCAGTCTGCTTGTTCATAAGAGTTAGCTACTGTCTGAACTATATCTTTTTTTATTCCTTTTCCTGTCCACTAAGAAAGTCTTACTGAATAGTAAGATAGCCTTTAGACCTTTTCCTTCAAGTTTTCATCAAGGAGTTGGGAGACAGATCCATAGTGGGGTGATTTTTAGCCCAGGTGGAGAGGACAGTGCTACCCTACTTGTTCCCTTTCCCCCCTGTAATATTCAGTCCAAAGCTTTGGCACCTTCTCTCTAGAATTGCACAAGAACATCTCAGAAGGTGGAAGGAGCATTGATGCCACACACCTCTACACCACCACTGAGAAAGAATAACAATATATCATAGAAAACAGTCAGGTTTTCACCCAAGACGTGGGCTCTCAGTCCCTTTTACGAACTGGTATAGAAAGCATAGTAACCCATGCCTTTGGAGGTGTCCTTTCCATAGTCCTCTGCATTAATGTCCTCACACTTCATCGTGGGAGAGTTTTCATTGCTGGATGTGCTGGGGGAGAGCCTTCGCCTTTTGCAAGCCCCAGTGTAGACCCCAGAATCATTTGAATCTAGAGACTTGATGGATGGCGGAGTCTCTATCCAGGATGACCCAATTTCTTCCTTCACCTTCTCCTTGGGAAGCAGGTCTTCAGAGAAACCTGGGGGGCTGGTTCTTGAGGTCCAAGGTAGGCCAGCAGACATTTTCCTCTGATAAGAACCTCTGCTGCCCCATCCTGCCATAGGGGAGAATGTCGGGTCAGGGTAATATCCCAAGGCATGGGAAGTCTGGAGGGGAAGGGATTTGATACCATAAGGGAGTAAGGTACTAGAGGAATAGTCAGTTTCGTAGGAGTTCATGTCCAATTTGTTGGCTCCAGCTTGCTGGACTGGAGTGACAAACCATCTTTGGGGGGGATTGGTCACCTCTTCATTCTGCTGAGGGGACAGCAGCCCGTTGGTTTGAGGGACAGTTCTTTCCCCATTATAGAATCTAGCAGGTGGCAGATTGTTGACAAATTGTTCCTGGAAGAAGGGCTGAACGCTGTACCGGGCTCCTGGGACGATCTGGTGGGATCTAGGAGAATCCGTGGGAGATGGAGTTAATCTGTCATTTTCTGAAGCTGTGTACATGCTACAAATACAAGAGAGAAATGCTAAGATGTTTTGCTCTTTACCAGATATTAAGCTCGCATAAACATGCAAGAAGACTGAATCAAGCACTAAGGGGAGGGTAAAGTCATGTTCATTCATTCTGGCTCAATTTTTTTTAAGGCAACCTAAATTAGGAGCAATTTTGTATTGGCTTTTACTACATGATGTGCACTTCTGTTGACCCTCTGAGTTAAAAATATGAAATCTGTTTCTGAAACACAAGGCAGATATTTGCCCTCCTTTTGAACAGCATTTTAAAAAATCTGACCAATACTGCTGTCACATTTAGAATAATTTCTGAGAAGTACAAACAGAGGCGGCCCTAGGTAATTTTCAACGGTAATGGGAGTTCTGTGTGCCATATTTGGTTCAATTCCATCATTGGTGGAGTTCAGAATGCTCTTTGATTGTAGGTGAACTATACATCCCAGTAACTACAACTCGCATATGTCAAGGTCTATTTTCCCCCAAGAGCGTCCCTGGGTAAAATCAACTATACTGCAAATACTTACTTTGTGTAATGGCTTGAGCTGCCCCTGAGTACAAATAAGATCTCATCCCACAGCTAAATTATTCTACAGTAGTCTCGCTTATCCAACCTTCCCTCATCCAACCTTCTGTATTATCCAAGACAGCCTGCCTCCCACCTGAATCCACAGCTGTTTCAGTACATTGTGATGTTTTGATGCTTAATTTGTAAAATCATAGCATAATTTGACATTTAATAGGCTTTTCCTTAATTCCTCCTTATTATCTAACATTTTCGCTTATCCAACGTTCTGCCGGGCCAGTTTATGTGGATAAGTGAGTCTCTACTGTACTTTCTAACACCTTATCTAACTGTATGTACATCATAATATTATACATATTGACCGAGAAGTAATCTCACTGAGTTCAATACATTTACTCATAGGAATGTGCCCTTTGGATTTTAGTATTAGATAATTTATTTTTATTTACTTTGTATTGTCGAAGGCTTTCATGGCCAGAATCACTGGGTTGTTGTAAGTTTTTCTTGGGCTATATGGCCATGTTCTAGAGGCATTCTCTACTGACATTTTGCCTGCATCTATGGCAAGCATTCTCAGAGGTAGTGACCTCACTACCTCTGAGGATGCATAGAACATGGCCATATAGCCCGAAAAAAACCTACAACAACCCATTTATTTACTTTATTTTTATTTTATTTATTTACTGTATTTTTACCCTGCTCTATCTCACCCCAAGGGGACTCAGAGCAGCTTCGAAATTGGTAATAATTTAATGCTGTACACACATAAACATACAAATATAATATACCCATACATTAAAATCAGTAAAAAATGTTTAAAAAATAGCATATCAATACATTAAAATAAACTATTAAAACCACATAATTTATGCACTGGGGAAAACCTTCTGTTTCATTTACAGAAAAATATGAAAATCTTTTCTTTAAAAGTATGGTTAACTGAGTTTAATATAAATGGATTTAAGGTGGGAGAAATAAAAAGTGTGGCTTATGGCTAACTACTGATGGAAGTCTTCTTAAAAAATAAAAATTTATTTCAGAGTTTCTACAATATTATCAGTTCTTTTATGTAGAAATAAGAATTCTACTTACGAATCATAGTTGTCCCGGAAACCTTTTGCAAAAGGATTGTGGTCAATTTTAAGTTGTGTGATCTGGAAAATAAAATAGCATTGTCCATTAGATATGTCTCATAAAATAATGATGCCTTTTTTGGGGGGAAAAAACTTGAAGAAATGCATGCTAAAGAGCTCTTTTAATAGTTCTGCTAAAACAGATTTGTGAAAACATCATTTTAAATTAATATAATAATATTAAAACAACCATCTGCTTCCCATCCTATTTTTCTTAATTTAAGGGTGTATTTACATACTTACAGAGCATTTCATTTTTAAAAACCCCTCACAAATCTGATCCTTACATCTGTGTTCTGATATGCAGTGACAGCTATGAACTGTGTTTCAGGGAAGTTAAAGGTCTGCGTCTTAGAGGAGTCATTCATATCTTCAACGCCATCTTCTGTCACTTCCACAATATGAAGCCGAGGCTGATATTTGTGCAGAGACTGAAGAACAATCATCTAAAAGAACAAGAAACCCAGTTTAATCTTTGGCAGTCAAGCCACTGTCTGGTTTGAAGAAAGTCTGGCCAAAATAAAAAAATAATAATCTGTCAAAATGTTCACAAGTACTTTCTACATCCTCCTGCCTGTAAGGTGTTACTGCAACAAGTTCAGAGAAGTCCAGTTCACCATAGCCCTGATCCCACTCATACAAATTTACAGCAGTTTGAGTATTTTCTATATCTTAATTTAACTGAGGAAATGGAAACTAAGTAGACAGTTTTACCTGTGTGTTATTGTTATTGGCTCCTTTATTATTGGTTAGTTTCAGTTTTCCAAAAGAGATTTCTTGCCTCATCCAGTGAGCTCCTGTGTTGGGAGATTCGGGATGAACATAAACCTTGTTGCCTGTTTAGAGAATAAAAGGGGGAAAAAGAGGGGTCAGAAAAAAGTCTGTTTTGTCCTCCCAGTCTCACAAGAATGAGGTTGCCATATCTAAAAGGTAGAAACAATAAGAAGAAGGTGTTCATAAACTTCAGTCAGTGAGCCAAGAATGGGATTAAAGCCATCCTTGGCTATTTTGCACATTTAGCTACTATGTCAAGAGTTTGCAGAGTATGTAATAAGACCAGGAATGTATAGAGAAAACCTTCATTTAGCATTTATTAATCTGATGAGGAACACCAAGGTCATTCGAGGAAGATAGATGCTTTTGAACTTTGGTGTTGGAGGAAAGTTCTGAGAGTGCCTTGGACTGCAAGAAGATCCAACCAGTCCATCCTCCAGGAAATAAAGCTCGACTGCTCACTGGAGGGAAAGATACTAGAGACAGAGTTGAAGTACTTTGGCCACATCATGAGGAGACAGCAAGGCCTAGAGAAGACAATTATGCTGGGGAAAGTAGAAGGTAAAAGGAAGAGGGGCCGACCAAGGGCAAGATGGATGGATGGCATCCTTGAAGTGACTGGACTGACCTTGAAGGAGCTGGGGGTGGCGACGGCCATCAGGGAACTCTGGCGTGGGCTGGTCCATGAGGTCACAAAGAGTCGGAGACGACTGAACGAATGAACAACAACAACAACAAGGTCATTCAAACTCACCCACAAAATGTGACTCTCCTTAGCATTCACAACTCAGAGCAAGGCTTGCCATCTTGGATTAAGACATAAATCCCAGAACTGGTGTGTGTGTATCTCAGCCTAAGGGTTGAGAAGGGCGGTATACAAATATAGTAAAATAAATATTGGGGAGATTAGTCTACCTGAAATATTATGTCAAAATTGGACCACAAATTCAAAATTGTCTTGATGTTTTGAAAATTGTGGAGAGAAAATCTAAATGGAGAATCATTATCTGTTTGTTCTATTTAACCTTGAATGTTTATTATTGGGATTTGTATCATTCTACTTGTGCTTATAATAATAAAGGGTAAGCTGAAGAACCGACATTGTCCATCCATAGACACCTCCAAGGTCATGTGGCTGGCATGACTGCATAGAGCTCCCTTACCTTCCCGCCGAAGCAGTACCTATCAATCTACTCACATTTGCATGTTTTCAAACTGCTAGGTTGGCAGGTGCTGGGGCTGACAGTGGGAGCTCATCCCACTCCTCAGATTCAAACTGCCAACCTTTCAGTCAGCAAGTTCAGCAGCTCAGCGGTTTAATCCACTGTGCAATGGGGGCTCAGTTTATAATAATAATAATAAAAAAGCATAATTTAAGAAATAATAATAAAATATTTTATTTTATTTTTATTTTAAATTGGTTTATAATAATAATATAAAATATCATAATAAAATAAAAATAATATTTAAAAAAATCCAAATACAAAATTGGACTTTTTGAGGCTCCTAAGGATTTATCCACCAGGAGTGTACTTATATGATAATTATTTTGTTAAGGATCCTCTAATAGTTTCCAACTTCAGCTAAAGATTGTTTCAATGTAATGTATTTTGTTTGCATTCAAGAAAAAAATCTTATATGCCAGTAGTCAAACCAGTCCATACTCCAGAAAATAAAGCCCGACTGCTCACTGGAGGGAAGTATATTAGAGGCAAAGATGAAGTACTTTGGCCAAGGAATGAGAAGACAGGAAAGGTTAGAGAAGATAATGATTCTGGGGAAAATGGAAGGAGAAAGGATGAGGGGCTGACCAAGGGCAAGATGAATGGATGTTATCCTTGAAGTGACTGGCTTGACCTTGAAGGAGCTCGGGGTGGCGAAGGCAGACAGAGAGCGACTGAATGAATAAACAAAGTCAAAACTGATAACAACCTGCCAGCTAAGTTGGAGCTCCACAGCTTAAAACAATTTTGGGATCCATAAACGGTGAAAGGAAATTGCTACAAAGAGTATTATACCTATACATAAAGGATACACAGTAAGTGGGAATTCCTATAAGATTGTTCTACCTGCTCCAGAGTGTTATGAAACCCTATCTGTCATAGGAAGGAAGCTATTGGGGTACTTTAGTCTCACTTACCTTGCATGTTGTTGTCGGCCTTGCCACAGGTCACCCACTTTCCCCCCTGGAAGCGCCAGTGGTTGGGGTCTGCCAGTATCACCTCCACAAAGACATTGTAGTGCGCAGTGGGGTTGAGGCCTGTGATGTTGAAGCTCAGGAAGGGAAACATCCGCCTGGGAAATGGGGAGAGGAGACAGAGAGGGAATGCTTTGGGGGCTTTCAAGAAAATGGAGAGGAGGAGAGGTGGCCTGTGCCAGCTCTGTGCCAGGCACCCCCCACTGGCATCTTTGGCAGCCTCTCTGGCCTTGGCTAGCACCTGGGCAGGAGAAGGGAACACAGATGGCAGACTCCCCTCCTGGGTTTTATATTTAGAGAGAAGCTCTGAGTCTCTCTCTCTTTCTCTCAAAGCTGTAGGAAGGGGAGAAAGAAAGACCCTCCCCCTCCCCAATTCCAGTTTTGTGACAGACATTTCCCAGTTCCTAGGGGATGGGATTTTGTTCTTGTCCCCTCCCAACACACTTTGAGGGGATTATTTCAGGAAATCACTTATCTCACCCCTTTCACTGGCCTGTGCCTCAATTATTAGATCAGTTTCTGGATATTATTTGACTTGATTTCAATAATAATAATAATAATAATAATAATAATAATAATAATAATGTTCAATAATAATAATGTTCAATAATAATAATGTTCAATAATAATAATGTTCAATAATAATAATAATAATAATAATAATAATAATAATAATAATAAAAACAACAACAACAATAATAAAAGGTCAGGTGAAACATTCACACCCAGCTCCAGCAGAGAAGAGCTCTTTGCCCCACCCCAGTCATTCCACAGATATATAAATCCATTTTCCTAATTCCAACAGACCTCACTACCTCTGAGGATGCTTGCCATAGATGCAGGTGAAACGTCAGGAGAAAATGCCTCTAGAACATGGCCGTATAGCCCGAAAAAATCCACAAGAACCTAGTGATTCCAGCCAGGAAAGCCTTCGACAATACAATAATAAAAGACTTTGACACAAGACAGTAAAGGTGGTCCCAGTGGTGATCGGTACACTGGGTGCAGTGCCTAAAGACCTTGGCCTGCACTTAAACACAATCAGAGCTGACAAAATTACCATCTGCCAGCTGCAGAAGGCCACCTTACTGGGATCTGCACACATTATTCAGAGATACATCACACAGTCCAAGACACTTGGGAAGTGTCCGAAGCGTGATCCAATACAACAGCCAGCAGAGTGATCTTGTTTGCTGTGTACTAATCTTGTTGTGTTTATAACAACAACAACAATTTTATTCTTATATCCCATCCCATCTCCCCATGTAAGACACTTGGGGTGGCTTACATGGGGACCAGGCCTAGTAAAACAAAATTAAAATATAGCACCAAAAATACATTGCATTATACTAAATTAAACAATTATGAAAAAATAATAGTAATAATAATAATAATAATAATAATAATAATACTTTATTTCTACACTCTTTCTCCCTGAAGGACTCAGGGCAGTTTACATATAAAAAGGGAAACATTCAATGCCTCAAAATAGGTACAAACACATCAAACCATACAGAAAAAATGGCACCAATTTCCCCCTATCAGGTCTACTTTTTGAGATGCAGAACATATGCCATTTATCAGTTGCCAGCTGCCCACCCATGGAAAATAATGATAGCCATATATAAGAAACTAGAGCTGATGCGGTCCAGTCAATGCACTTTTCAGAACCAGTGCCCCAAAAAACCCCAGGAACAGGCCTAAAAACCAAGACACCAACAATTTTTTTTGTTGGGCTGTGTAAATTCTCCAGGTTGCACAATAATCATTTAGGAAAGGGGTCATGTTGGTCTCAGTTTCCCCTTCCTTCTCCCAGTCAGCCTGGAAGGTGCTACAAAATAATGACACAGAAGACTGGGCCCCTTCCACACAGTTGAAGAAAACCTCACATTATCTGCTTTGAACTGGAATATATGGCAGTCTTTCCCCCCAAAATGTAAGAGTTGCTTTCTTCCTTTCTTTCTAAATTTACATTTTGAAAGTGGAGATTAAGTGGTTGCGAAATTCAAAGGCAGTGCTTTCCTTTGATCAATGAAAACGTCAAGTCCAAGGTCAGCTCTTCCACCGACCGCACTAAAGAGTAATGAAACAATTTTGAAGTATAGTTAATTCTATGTAGGTAAAGTAAAGGTTTCCACTGATATTATGTCTAGCCCTGTCCCAACTCCCTAGCAATGGGGCCAGCATGACTGCATGGAGCACCATTCCCTTCCTGCAGAAGTGGTACCTATTGTTCTACTCACATTTGCATGTTTTCGAACTGCTAGGTCGGCAGAAGCTGGGCCTAACAGCGGGAGCTCACTCTGCTCTCCGCATTAGAACCCTCAACCTTTCGGTCAGCAAGTTCAGCTCAGCAATTTAATTCTGTGTAGCACTGGCAAAAATAAAGTGTGGCGAATGGAGACTCTTTCAGGGCCTTCCACACAGCCATATAATCCAGAATATCAAGGTAGAATAACGCACAATATCTGCTTTGAACTGGAATATCTGAGTCCACATTGCCATATATTCCGGTTCAAAGCAGATAATGTGGGATTTGAACCAAAATCTTCAGGCTGCATCTACACAGTTAAATAATATTATTTAGCTGTGTAGATGCAGCCTGAATAATATAGTATTTCTGAATAATAATCCTGAATATAATAATAATAATAATAATAATCCTGAATAATATAATAATCCTGAATATTATTATAATAATAAAGATGCAGCCTGAATAAAAAAAAAATATTTAGCTGTGTAGATGCAGCCTGAATAATATAATAATTCTGAATAATCCTGAATTATATAATAATAATGATAATAATAATAAAGATGCAGCCTGAATAATAAAAAATAATATTTAGCTGTGTAGATGCAGCCTGAATAATATAATAATCCTGAATAATAATCCTGAATAATATAATAATAATCCTGAATAATAATAATAATAATAATAATAATAATAATAATAATAAAGATGCAGCCTGAATAATAAAAAATAATATTTGGCTGCGTAGATGCAGCCTGAAGATTTTGGTTCAGAGAGTGATCCTCTGCGTCGTGACTCCGGATTACAGCTTGTTGCTTTCTCTGGGGCTTAACCTTCAAGTAAATCCAATTGTTCCCTTGCTGAATAGTAAGAACCAACATTACTATAACTACCAGGAGAAAGGTACACATCCCCGCTCGGCCATGGAACCCTGGAGAAACTACATGCTCTCACTAGGGAAAACAATGCAGGCGAAACGTCAGGAGAGAATGCTTCTAGGACATGGCCATACAACCCGAAAAACCTCCAACAACCCAGTGATTCCGGCCATGAAAGCCTTCGACAATATAGCGACCAGTTTGTCAGAGAGTCGCCCTAAATCAGAAGGGACTTGAACGCACATACTAAACGTGGAAAGATTCGGAACAGGACTATAGCATTGGAGAAAAGACTCTCATCACACTAGAGAAAAAATCCACTTAAAATCCTGCCTCCTGCAGAATTATGGGGTTTGTAGTTTAGTGAGGCTGTTAAAGGCTCCTTCCTAAACTATAAACCCGCAAATTCTGCAGGAGGCAGAAATCGGATTTTAAGTGGATTTTTTCTCTAGTGTGATGAAGCCAAAAATCAGAACAGCCGCCGAAGAATCGGGGTATTTCGACACGTTCGAAAACTGGACAAAACAAGCGCGGATCTGAAAGGATTCACTCCGGATTCCTATCTTTAACCCTCCCATGGCACAGAGAGTGGGTCAAAAGTCTCAAAAGGGGTTCAATATTTAATAACTCTCCTGCTTTTAATTAGCAACACCACTGCAACATATACAGGGCATTAATATTACAATATTTAATATTACAATATTAAAAAACTTTATAGATCCAGCCTAATGTGTCAAGCTACAATTCCCAGGATTCAAGAACATGGAACCCTAGCAGTTCAAGTGGTGTCAATATGCAAACAATATCAATGTACTTTTAGTAGTAGGTGGGCCTACTTGGTCCCTTGGCAATCAATATTTTGAGACTTCGGTCCTCAGTGTATTGTCGAAGGCTTTCATGGCCGGAATCACTGGGTTGTTGTAGGTTTTTCCGGGCTATATGGCCATGTTCTAGAGGCATTTTCTCCTGACGTTTCGCCTGCATCTATGGCAAGCATCCTCAAAGGTAGTGAGGTCTGTTAGAACTAGGAAAATGGGTTTATATATCTGTGGAATGACCAGGGTGGGGCAAAGGACTTTTGTCTGCTGGAGCTACGTGTGAATGTTTCAACTGACCACCTTGATTAGCATTTAATGGCTTGGAAGTGCCTGGGGGGAATCTTTTGTTGAGAGTGATTTGATGTACCTGATTGTTTAGGTCCTCACTTCGACAGAGCCGACTTAAGTCCTTGGCTGGATCCACACAGATCATATAAGGCAGCTTGGATTGTAGATCCAGCCTCGGTCAAACTACAGCTCCCAGGATGTGTCAGGTTTTGTGTGTGTCAGAGGCCTCAAGTCGCTTCTGGTGTGAGAGAATTTTCTGTCTGCAAGGACGTTGCCCAGGGGACACCAGGATGTTTTACCATCCTGTGGGAGGCTTCTCTCATGTCCCCTGCATAGGAAGCTGGAGCTGACAGACGGGAGCTCATTCCCTCCCCAGGATTTGAACCTCGAACCTTCGGGTCAGCAGTTCAGCCGGCACAACAGCTTAGGACGTTGCCCATCCCAGGATGTGTCAGGTTTTTTTGTGTGTGAGTGTGTCAGAGGCCTCAAGTCGCTGCTGGTGTGAGAGAATTGGCCGTCTGCATGGACGTTGCCCAGGGGACACCAGGATGTTTTACAATCCTGTGGGAGGCTTCTCTTATGTCCCCGCATAGGAAGCTGGAGCTGACAAATGGGCGCTCACCTCTAATCTCCAGGTCAGCAGTTCAGCCAGCACAAGGGTTTAACCAGTTGCGCCACCGAGGCTCCTGATCTGTCAGTTCAAGTGGTGTCAAACACCTTCTCCCAAAAGAAGTTACTTTAGTCTCGGCTCAAGAACAGAAAGGACAGCAAAAGAGGGTTAAAACTGGGTTTAAAGCAATAAGAATGTGGCATAAACAAACATCAAGAATTGGGAAGGCCTGGAATGTTCTCTAATTGGAGGTCAGCTTGTTGCCAACAGCACTATGGATTCTGATGGGGCAGGAATGGCGGCAGTCCCCAAGTTACGAACAAGATGGGTTCTGTAGGTTTGTTCTTAAGTTGCATTTGTATGTAAGTCGGAACACATACATTTTTAAAGTACAACTTCTGGGCGATCCATGGTTCTAAAGTACTTAAAAAACTAAAGTTGTGGTGGTGAAAATTTCAGAACTCAAACAAAACTTTCAAAATTTAATTATTTCATAACTGGTGATTTTTATGATAGAACCAATTAGTTCAATTGTTATTATTATTATTATTATTATTATTTATTAAGTTATTTTTCAATCACGGAGTCTTGTATTTTGATCTCAAAAGTCTGACATTTGTAAGTCACGGAAGGACCCACTGTTAACTCTATTTCTGGAACAGGCATGGGCAAATTTCGGCCCTCCATGTGTTTTGGACTTCAACTCCCATAATTCCTAACAGTCGGTTGGATTGTTTTGAACTTCAACTCCCACAATATTTTATATATATATATATTGTGTGTGTGTGGTGTGTAGCTTTGGATAGCATAGTGCTGTTTATGTCAATTGGTGTTATCAATATTTATAATTGTTAATGTATTTTATGTGTTTCTGTATGGCACCATCATGTGATGTTCTTTAAACCGCCTCGAGTCCCATTTGGGAGATGGCGGCGGGATATAAATAAAGTTATTATTGTTGGGAAGGGGTGACACTCCTATGGTGTGGTTTTGCTGTCTGTCTACGCCCCTGTTCAGAAGTCTTCATTCACTTCATTTTCTGTCCCTGTGAGAATGGGATTTTGAAAAGTTTGGTTTGTTGTGGAAACAAGAATTGATGAGAAAGCTTCAGTGGAGACACCTTTGCCCCACAATAATTCTTTTGGGAGTGAAGTTCCCTTGCCAGGAGCAGATTCCTCTCCCCTCCTGTTGTCTTACCCCCCTTCATAACTGTGGGTCGTTTGCAAGTGGGATGTTTATACCCCGGGGACTTCCTGTAAGAACAACAGGGTGTAAGAATGAAAGATGTTTTACTCTTGTCTTATTGGATTGTTTTTTAATCATTATTTTCATCCCGTTGCTTAATTCTTTGTTGTAGGTTGACTGTTGTTTCTGTGCATTACCTTGTAGTGAGTTTTCCGGACTGTATGGCCATGCTCCAGAAGCATTCTCTCCTGACTTTTCGCCTGCATCTATGACAAGTATTATTTTGATGTAATTGTATTCATTTGATGCATTGAACGATTGCCTTTGGTTTTGTGTCTGAAAACCGTCCCGAGTCTCTTGGGGAGAGAAGGTGGTCTAGAAATAAAGTATTATTATTGTTATTATTATTATTATTATTATTATTATTATTATTATTATTATTATTTATTAAGTTATTTTTCAATCACGGAGTCTTGTATTTTGATCTCAAAAGTCTGACATTTGTAAGTCACGGAGGGACCCACTGTTAACTCTATTTCTGGAACAGGCACGGGCAAATTTCGACCCTCCATGTGTTTTGGACTTCAACTCTCACAATTCCTGACAGTCGGTTGGAATGTATTGTCGAAGGCTTTCATGGCCGGAATCAATGGGTTGTTGTAGGTTTTTTTCGGGCTATATGGCCATGTTCTAGAGGCATTCTCTCCTTACGTTTCGCCAGTATCTATGGCAAGCATCCTCAGAGGTAGTGAGGTCTGTTGGAACTAGGAAAATTGGGTTGGAATGTTTTGGACTTCAATTCCCACAATTCCTAACACCCGTTGGGAATGTTTTGGACTTCAACTCCCACAATCCCTAACACCCAGTATGAATATTTTGGACTTCAACTCCCACTATTCCTAACAGCCGGTTGGAATGTTTTGAACTTCAACTCCCACTATTCCTAACACTCGGTTGGAACGTTTTGGACTTCAACTCCCACAATTTCTAAAAGCCGGTTGGAATGATTTGGCCTTCAACTCCCACAATTCCCAACAGCTGGTGGGAATGTTTTAGACTTCAACTCCCACAATTCCTAGCACCCGGTGGGAATGTTTTAGACTTCAACTCCCACAATTCCTAGCACCCGATGGGAATGTTTTGGACTTCAACTCCCACAGTTCCCAACAGCTGGTTGGAATATTTTGGACTTCAACTCCCACTATTCCTAACACCCGTTGGGAATGTTTTGGACTTCAATTCCCACAATTCCTAACACCCGGTAGGAACGTTTTGGACTTCAATTCCCACAATTCCTAACACCCGGTAGGAACGTTTTGGACTTCAACTCCCACTTTTCCTAACACCAGTTTGAATGTTTTGGACTTCAACTTCAACTCCCACAGCCGATAGGAATGTTTTGGACTTCCACAATTCCTAATACCCTCTAGGAATGTTTTGTACTTCAACTCCCACAATCCCTAACAGTCCAAAACACCTGGAGGGCCGAAGTTTGCCCATGATTATCCTGAAGACAACCAATGCCAGGAGAGACCTCCGATGTCAACCCGTAGTCATTCTCAGTGCCACTAAATCCCGCCTTACCTGCCCTGACAACCTGCCTTCATTCTCAGTGAGAGTCTATCCCTGGCGCGCCTTACCTGCCCTGCTTGGTGATGATCATCTCGGTCTGATGCCGGTGGAACTTGAGCCAGAGCGGGCGGTTGCAGAGGAAGACTTGGGCGCGCATCCCTCCGGCCACGGCCAGGGCGCCCAACCCTCCGCAGGAGGAGCCCGCCGAGGCCGGGTAGGGCCCGTAGAGGCTGCCTGGAGGGGCGCCCTGGCCGTACTGGTAGGCGCCGGCGAAGGGGGTCCTGCTGGCGAAGCTGCCCGGAGCCGAGAGGACGGAGCCGTAGGGGTAGCGCGCCCCTCCGTTGCCCACCCCTCCTCCTCCCCCACCCCCTCCTCCTCCTGACGGATACATGGCACCCGATTGCGCGCTTCCCGCAGAGTAAGGGAAAAGGGCGCAAGGGCCGCCCAACTCCGCGCCTCCAGGAGGGCCTGGAGACTGCAAGTAGTACCTCTCCGGACTCAGGCCGTCCAAAGAGTAGCGGGAAGGAGCAGGAGGAGGGGGTGGAGGAGGAGGAGGTGGAGGAGGGGGAGGGAGGGCTTCCTCCTCGGCTGGGCAAGGAGAAGCTTTGCGCCCGGAGTCTTTGAAAGGCGACGTCTCCCCAACTGATGCCGCCACCGCTTCCGTCGCCTCGCCCAGCATCCCCGACGCCGCGTTGAACTTTTTCCCGCCTTTCTCCAAGTCCAGGCGCGGGGAAGGAGGGGCGCTGAGGTGCCTCCTCCCTGCGCCCTCCAAAGGGAAAAACGGGGCGCCTGTCAACAGCGGAGGCTCCCCCAACTGCATTTTTCTCTCCCCGCCTCGAGAAAGTTGGAGAGAGCCCTCCTCACCTCCCCGCTCCCTTTCAAACCCTCCTTCTTCTCCTCCACGTCGTCCTCCTCGAAGCCCTCATTCAGATCTAAGCCTTCCCCCTCTTTGCCTTCTTTCCTTTTTTGCTTCCTTCCTTCTTTTCTTTCAATGCCGGCGGCCCGGAGTGGGAGCGCTTCTTATAGGCGCTGCTCGGCCCCAGGGGCGGGGCTTGGAGGCAGCACAGATCCCGCCTCCTCGCCCGCCGCCCCCATTGGCTGGCCTCGGAGACGCTAATTTAATTAGGCAGGGACTAATTGGGAAGCAAGTTCACCTGCGACTCCGCAAGGCAAGACTTTCCCCACTTTTTATTATCCCCGAGAAGACAGGTGCCTTTGGCTAGATGGACGTTGGCCATATGATGCAGTTTCGTCAGTGTAGACCAGGCATGGGCCAACTTGGGCCCTCTATGTGCTAGGGGCTCAGTTGGGATTAAGCGGCTGAGGGGGAAAAGGAAAGGGCCTGAGGCTGTTAGGAATGGTGGGAGTTGGAGTCCAAGCACATAGAGGGCCCAAGTTGGCCCATGCCTGGTATAGGAGTTGGAAGACACCTCATGGGCCATCCAGTCCAACCCCCTGCCAAGAAGCAGGAATGTTGCATTCAAAGCACCCCCAACAGATGGCCATCTAGCCTCTGTTTTAAAGCCTCCAAAGAAGGAGCCTCCACCACACTCCGGGGGCAGAGAGTTCCACTGCTGAACAGCTCTCACACTCAGGAAGTTCTTCCTAATGTTCAGATGGAATCGCCTTTCTTTGAAGCCATTGTTCCGCATCCTAGTCTCCAGGGCAGCAGAAAACAAGCTTGCTCCCTTCTCGCTATGATTTCCGCTCACATGGCTATCATGCCGGCTACATAACCTTGGAGGTGACTACGAACAACGCCAGCTCTTCAGCTTAGAAATGGAGATGAGCACCGCACCCTAGAGTCCGACAGGACTGGATTTCATGTCAGGGGAAAATCTTTACCTTTACTAACATGTCTCCTCTCAGCCTTCTCGTCTTCAGGCTAAATATGTCCAGCTCTTTAAGCCGCTCCTCCTAGGGCTTGTTAACTGTTGGGAATCAAGGGCTGTTAGGCTCAAAAATAACCCTCACTTGGGGTGATTCCACAGAAGCACAGTTCATTACCAGCAAAAGCTTACCTGTACAGAGCAAACACTGGTTTCCATTCAACAGGATGGGACAGGATTGCAGATCCACAACTTCATAGGTTCCAAAAATATAATATGTTTATTAAAGTCAAAAGAAATTCATTCTGGATAGGAAAGTTTCTTGGAGATCACTAGATTCATTGAGCTGTGTTCTAAGGAAAAGAAAAAGGGGAAAAAATTAACAAAATAGCCATATCTACTACATTTTACCTGGATAATGGTAAGATGTCTCTTCGTCTAGAAGAACAAAGGAAGAAGAGAGACCCAAAAATGGAAACAGGCTGCATGGCCAGCCCAGGGCAATAAAAATACCTTTAAAGAGGAAATTATGTCTTCCCTGAAGAGATCACATTGTTAAGTATTCAAAGGGGGAGGAGATAGTGGCATGCACGATGAGCAAGACAAAGCCTCCTTCTGAGCCCCTTCTTGAGTTAGGCATGCACAGGGAATTTGGGAGAAGGAATCCCTCATTCTAATCTATCTAGGCTAACTACTCATTGAGGGCTAGAGATTTGTGCAGTCAGGGATGAAACCCAACAAAAACACCAGTTTGCCCATGCCTCGTGTAGACACATACAAGGCAAACTGCACCATGTGTGTCTCCTCTATCCCGACAATTTCCTCTATCCAGATAGTATAGCCGGTATTGCACCACTTGACATCCGCCAGGAAGTTGCAGCCAATAATGAAAGGACCAAGGCAGTGACATCTATGACATCTACGGCTCACTGTAGTTTTCTCGTAGGAACACCTAAGCAAGCAAGAGTCCAAAAGTGGCAGGCTAAAACCCAGAACTTCAATCCATGGCTGAGACCAGACTGGGCGACTTGGAAGGCACTGAACAGGCCACGAAGAAATGTGGCCACGAAGTGGAGTCCACGACATGCGAGTGTGGAGAAGAGCAAATTACAGACCACCTACTACAATGCAACCTGAGCCCTGCCACATGCACAATGGAGGACCTCCTTATAGCAATACCAGAGGCACTCCAAGTGGCCAGTTTCTAGTCAAAGGACATTTAGTTTAATGCCAAGTTTTTAAACTCTGCGGTTTGTTTGTTTTTTAAATACATATATAACACAACTGTACCCTCGATTCGCTTCTGATAGGATAAATAAATAGATAATGCAAGTCTACATTGACTGACCATTGAAGTATTTATAGTATTCTTTCCGGAACTTTTGTAGAAGGCTTGAAGTCCCATTTCGAATAAGAGCCGCCTCAAGGGTCCCCCCCCTCCCCCCCAGGTTAGGAATGGATTGCGCCTTCCCAGATGCTCGGGCAGAGGGGAACTCCCCATCTACACGGAAATGGGGGGAATCCAAGGTGAGGCAGTTCGGGCGAAGTCAGCCTAGTTCTCCTCGCAGGGCTTTCTTCCCACCTTAAGGACAACGGCGAGGCGTCTCTCTCTCTCTGGCCTCCACTTCAGCGACCTCGTTCTGTACCAAAAGACACGCTGCTTCAGATGCGAGGGAGGTGACGTCGGAATCGTGCGCCTGACTAAGACCTGCAGAACAGTTCGCACCTTCGCCGGGATCTCCTTTGCAACCGGGCCCGGGGGTGGGGATACGATTGGCGTTAGCATTCTCCTCCTCACTCTCTTTCTGTGTGAAGGAAGGTAGGAAGGCAGGCAAGGAAAGGAATGAAAGGAGGGAAGGAAATAAAGGAAATGAAGAGAGGAAGGGAGGGGAAGGAAAGGGAGGAAAGGAAGGAAAGGGAGCAAGGAAACAAAGAAAGGGAGGAAAGGGAAGGGAGGGAGGCAAGGAAGGAAGGAAGAGAAGGAAGGAAAGAAGGAAAGGAAGGAAACGAAGAAGGGAAGGAAAGGAAAAGAAGGAAGGGAAGAGAGGAAAGGGAGGAAGGAAAGAAGGGAGGAAAGGGAGCAAGGAAATGAAGAAAGGAAGGAAAGAAAGGGAAGGAAGGGAGGCAAGGAAGGAAGGAAAGGGAGGAAAGAAGGAAGGGAAGAGAGGGACGGAGGAAGGAAAGGGAGGAAGGAAATGAGGAAAGGAAAGAAAGGAAGGGAGGCAAGAAAGGCAGGAAGGAAAGGAAGGGAGGCAAGGAAGGAAGGAAGAGAAGGAAGGATAGAAGGAAAGCAAGGGAGGGAGGGAAGGGAAAGAAGGGAAGAGAAGGAAAAGAAAGGGAGGCAAGGAAGGGAAGGGAGGGAACGGAGGCAAGAAAGGAAGGAAGGAAGGGAAGGAAGGAAAGGAATGAATGGAGGGAAGGAAGGAAAGGAAATCGAGGAAGGAAACGGAGGAAAAGAAGGAAAGGAAGGGAGGCGAAGGAAGGGCAAGGCAAAGCAAGGAAGGCAAGAAGGAAGGAAGGAAGGAAAGAAAGGGAAGGAAATGAAGGAAGGAAATATTTACACAAAGTTGAACATTGGGGATATCGACTTTAGTTGCATTTGCTCAGTGCTCTGGGATCATGGGAGCTTTAGCTTTAAAAGATCTTTGGAGTTCCTACCCAGGAGTGTAGCTGCCTCCTTGAAACCGCAACATCCACGATCCAGTTGCACTGAGCCAGGACAGTTCGAAGTAGTGCAGAACGGTATTAATTCAACGGTGCAGATGCGCCCGTTATCTATCAAAGGAATCTCATGCTTATTCACTCCGAAATCGACCCAAAAACCTACGTGTGTATAAGCAGTTATAGAATTGCGTTGCAGTGAGTTCTCCGAGCTGATGTTTTGCCCACATCTATGGCAGGCATTCCTCAGAGATTGTGAGGTATGTTGGAAACAAGGCAAGTGAGGTTTATACATACAGTATATCTGGTTCCCGTGCAAACAAACGGAGTCTTACAACTCAACGGTATATAAATGAAGTAAATAAACTATACACTGAATTGCGTTGTATGAGTTTATGTCAGGCTTGGGAAACTTGGACCTTCCAGGTGTTTTGGACCCCAACTCCCACCATTCCTCACAGCTTCAGGCCCTTTCCTTTCCCCCCTCAGCGAAAAGGAAGGGGCCTGAGGCTGTGTGTGGGAGTTGGAGTCCAAAACACTTGGAAGGCCCAAGTTTTCCCATGCCTGGTCTACACTGACCATATAATGCGGTTCAAGCTTGGCAGTGTCGATCCAGCCATAGACATTCCTGTTTTAAAGCGATTTAGACCAAGAGTTTAATTTCCTCTCTCACTGAAATCTATACATACTTAAGAACAGCTTAAAAGTAACTTCAAATTTTATCTTCCTTTTCAAATGGTTTTAAAACTCTTCAACTATTATTCTAAAATTTCAAACTCACGTGGAACGTCAATTTCCATTTACTATTCCTTTTTAGGAGGGAAAAATACGGATGAATTTACACAACGGTGTTGACTTAGGACGGAGTCGCATTGACTCCCAAGTAACGACTGGATATTTCAATTCAGTGGCTAAACTCGAGTTGTTTCTTGGGGGTCCCTTGAGAGCGTTAAGGTACTAGGAGGGAGGCATGTGTCTCTTTTTTCAGCCAGGTTTTCTTTGATGACTGCCTTAAAGCGGCGTTTCTCCTACTCAAGGTGAAGAAGATACCACTTAGGAGTAGCCTTTGAGAAAGTGACATCGGTTTCCCCGATCGCGGGGGTGTAAATGGCCGTAAATAATATCCACCGGATTGGACAACACAGGGATTTAGATCAGGCATAGGCAATTTTTTGCCCTCCAGGTGTTTTGGACTTAATTCCCATAATTCCTAGCAGCCTAGGAAATGTGGGAGTTGAAGTTCAAGACATCCCTTCTTGCCAAACATCCCGGGGATCCAAGACAGAGCAGTGTTGCTTTAAAAGACCTATCTATTGTATTTTATTAGTCAGAACCCGGAAGGACCTGTTTGGAAGCCAAATTCAGCACCTTGGACAGCTGCCCATCCCTGGCCTGGGCTCACTGACATCCACTCAGAAGTTGCTGCTTTGCTCAGGAGGAAATTTGCATCAGGTTCTTAACAACATACCTAGTTGACCTCCACACTAAGGTTGG